GTATGTGTGTGTGTATGTGTGTGTATGTGTGTATGTGCATGTGTGTGCGTGTGTGTATGTGTGTGTGTGTGCGTGTATATGTGCGTATGTGTGTGTGTATGTGTGTGTATGTGCATGTGTGTGCGTGTATATGTGCGTATGTGTGTGTGTATGTGTGTGTATGTGCATGTGTGTGCGTGTGTGTATGTGTGCATTTGTGTGTGTGTATGTGCGCGCGTGTTTGTGTGTGTGTATGTGCGCGCGTGTTTGTGTGTGTGTATGTGTGTGTGTATGTGCGTGTGTGTATGTGTGTGTGTGTGTATGTGCATATGTGCATATGTGTGTGTGTATGTGTGTGTGTGTGGTGTGTGTGCGTGCGTGTGTATGTGCATGTGTGTGCATGTGTGTATGTGTGCATTTGCGTGTGTGTATGTGTGTGTGTGTGCATGTATATGTGCGTATGTGTGTGTGTATGTGTGTGTATGTGCATGTGTGTGCGTGTGTGTATGTGTGCATTTGTGTGTGTGTATGTGCGTGCGTGTTTGTGGTGTGTGTGTGTGTGTGTGTGTGTGTGTATGTGTGTGTGTATGTGTGTGTGTTGCATCCCATTCACTATGCATCATTAACGGTGCTAAATTAAAATAGAAACAATAAACAAAAAACCCAAAACAAACAAAATAGACCCCGCCCTTCAATACCTGAGTTCTTTTTCATCCACATCATAACACCTCCAATGATACAAACTAAGATCACAGCTCCGAGGACAGCACCAGCAATGGTCATGATGGTGATGGTTGACTGAGGAGGCTCTGGGAGTCAAGAGAAAGGAAGGGAAGGTGACAGTCAGGGCTCAGCTATCAAGCCTCACCCTGCCTAGGCTCTGCAGAAGGCTTCAACTTTCCTGACCTCAGTTCTGCACCGCCTCCCTCTTACCCCATCTCAGGGTGAGGGGCTCAGGCAGCCCCTCATGCTCCACATGGCATGTGTATTTCTGCTCCTCTCCAACAGGCACCTCCACAGCTGCCCACTTCTGGAAGGTTCCATCCCCAGAAGGTCTGGTCTCCACCAGCTCCATGTACTGTGTCAGTTCCTCCTCATCCTTCATCCAGGTCAGGGTGATGTCAGCAGGGTAGAATCCCAGGGCCCAGCACTTCAGGGTGACTTTACCTTCAGGTCTGGGGTGATGGGTCACATGTGTCTTTGGAGGGTCTAAGGAGAAGAGTTGGAGAGTTCAGGTGTTTTGTCGGGGACTCCAGCAGGGCCCCTGTGACCATCCTTTGCTGGGTCAGAAGTGGGGTGATGGAGGGGTGAAATAGAACAATAGCACAGGAGCTATTTGGGCCATGCATCAGCCCAAGTCTCTTCACAGCACAGGACACAATCAGCAGAGGGAACAGAAGTCACAATAGGAGGAAACCTGTGCCAGCTGGACTGCAGACAAGGGACTAGAGCCCTCAGTTTACAGAGAACTGCACAAACTAAACACCAAGGAACTAACATTGTCCATCAACAAATGGGTGAGAAAAGTGAATAGACAGTTATCTTAATAAAAGAAAAAGCACAAACGGCCACTAATAATTTTAGTGTGTTCATTATCTCCAGCCTTCATGAAAATGCAGACTAAACTACTTAGAAGGGCTGGAGAGTTGGCTCAGAGGTGAGGAGCACTTGATGTTCTTGCAGAGGACCTGGGTTAGATGCTGTCTGAGACTCCAGTCCCAGGGAATCTGACTCCATCCTCTGACCCCAGACACCAGGTACACACGTGTGCACAATCACAGTGCAGGCTAAACACACATCCCCATTAACGAATGAAATAAAAATGAAAGTTAAAACTGCTTTGTGATAGCACCTCACCCAGTCAGAATGGCTGTCACCAAGAAATCTGACAGCAAATGCTGGAGAGGACATGTGAAAGAGGAGCTATACTCACTCCTCTCTCTCTCTCTCTCTCTCTCTCTCTCTCTCTCTCTCTCTCTCTGTGTGTGTGTGTGTGTGTGTGTGTGTGAATATGTGTGCACGTGAGCACATGTGCTAGTGTGCTTGCACAAAAATTAATACAGTCGTTGTGGAATCTTTTTCTATATTTCCAAAAAAATTGATCATAGAACTACCATATGAAACACATATTTTATTCCTGGCCAGATGTACTCACCCTAATGGTAAGATATTTATACCCCATGGTAATTGTTGATTTATTCACTAAAAATTGGATTTAATCTATGAACAGATTTGTAGATAATGGAAATTTGGTACATATAAAATGGAATACTATTCGGCTCTAAACAATGTAATCACAAAATACACAGGAAAATAGATGAATTTAGCATTACAATATTAAGCGAGCTCACACAATCTGAGAAAGTACATTGTCTTTCCTCATATGTAACATGTAGCCAATAATACATGTACATATGTGCATAAGTGTACACATGTGTCCAGTATAGCATGACCAAAAGACAACGAGAAAGGCTAAATATTGGGGACGAGAAAAGACTGAATACAGCTACTGAGTTTTGAAACAGGCTATAAAACTAATTGTTTTCTAGTTATATATTTGTCATGGATTTTATTTCTATCTTTCTTCAGTTTTTTGCGAGTTGGTGTTGGATAAGTGGATGAATTGTATTTGATGAGGAATGTGTAAAATTCCTGTGACATACGGCTAACATAACAGCATTCACTGAGATGTATAGCCTTTGTTTCTAGTTAATTTTAGAGTGCGACTTTTTCTGTAATAAATTTAAAAAATTAAAAATAAGTAGAGACAGGGGCGTGACCCCAGCTGAAGGGGGTCTCTTCTTCCTCAGGACTGAGCCCATTCGAGGGCAGAGGGAGGAGTTGCCTGTGGCCCCTGCACCTGTGCGCAGCAGCTGGTCCTTCCCGTGCTCCAGGTGTCTGCTGAGCCACTCCAGGCACTCGCCCTCCAGGTAGGCCCTTTGATGCAGTGCAACACCAGCCTGCTCCCACTTGCGCAGGGTGATCTGTGCTGCCATGTCTGCTGCAGTCCACGTCCTCAGGTCGTCGTTCATGGCGATGTAATCATCGCCATCGTAGGCGAACTGATCATACCCACGGAGGAGGCGCCCGTCCGACCCCATGTGACAGCCAGACATCCGCTGGAAGGTGTGAGAGCCTTGTTGGGGGGACCCCCCCCCCGCCGGCGGTCAGCCCCGCCCACCTGTTCCTCCCCGTCCCCCCGCCCACCCTTGGACTCCTCTAAACTGAAAGAGAAAGATGGTTCCCCTCCCTATCTCTCTGAACCAGACTCTCTGCATATCCCACATTTCCAGAAGAACCTCCACTTCTTGGGACCCGGGGCGACTCTGGACCGTTTGTAGGGACGTAAAGGTCGGGACCTCCGACCCGGGGTCACTCACCGCCCTTGCTCTGGTTGTAGTAGCCGAGCAGGGTCCTCAGGTTCACTCGGTCATTCTGCGCGTTGCCCTTGGCGATCCGCGTGTTCCTCTCCCAATACTCCGGCCCCTCCCGCTGCACCCACGGCGCCCGCGGCTCCATCCTCGGATTCTCCGCGTCGCTGTCGAAGCGCACGAACTGCACGTCGTCCACGTAGCCGACTTTCAAATAACGGGGCTCCCCAAAACCGGGCCGGGCA